CGTCACTGAGGCCAGGTGGGTGTGCAGGGGGAGCTCATCCAACGTCACCCAGGCCAGGTGGGTGTGGGGGGAGCTCAGCCAACATCACCAAGGCCAGGTGGGTGTGGGGGGGTCCAGCCAACATCACTGATGCCAGGTGGGTGCAGGGAGCCCCTCCACCTTTGATTCTGACAGTTTTGCCAGATTTTTGTTGCTTTTATGGAGGGACAACTTTGAATTCCTGACTCTGCTACTTTCTCTGACATCCCTTTTTTTTTTAAAAAAAAAAAATCACTGATTTATTGAAAAAGAAAAGGTGAAACTTGCATTGTTTAACCCGGATGGAAGATCATGCTGACTAGAAACACACGGGGGATGAAGCTGTGGGATTAACTGCTTGGGAGACACAGTTGTCTGCCTGGGTTCTGAGTGCAGGCCCGCGGTGTGTTTGCTGCGAGGCGTCAAAGACCAGCAAGCCCCGGTCTGCGACTTTGTTCCATTGTCTGGGAACTGAAAGGAGTAAAGGAAAAATGGGATTTGACAGTGTCTGACACCAGCTGGGTCCCCACGTAAAATCCTTTCTTGGGCGGGGTCCCAGTGCACTCTGGGTGTCCCTTGGTGACCCCGCTGCTCTCTCTGTTCTTAGATTGTCTTTCTATTCCGGGCACTCCTCGTTCGCCATGTACTGCATGGTGTTCCTGGTGGTGAGTGCTTTTTTTGTGGCTTGCTTTCCCCATCTGTAAATGGGAGGCGTGGAGGTGGTGGGTAGAACTAACTGGTTAGTCCATAAGAACTGGAGCCCTGGGTCCCCCTGTCCCTTCCAGCCTCAGTGCTCCTGTCTGTGCAGTGGGCATGGAGTATGCCGGGCGGGCTCCCAGGCTGACAGCCGCTCCCCCACCAGCTCTACGTGCAGGCACGACTCTGCTGGAAATGGGCGCGGCTGCTGCGGCCCACGGTGCAGTTCTTCCTGGTGGCCTTCGCCCTCTACGTCGGCTACACCCGCGTGTCTGACCACAGACACCACTGGAGCGACGTACTTGTCGGGTTCCTGCAGGGGGCGCTGGTGGCCGGCCTCGCTGTGAGCCTCGACCCTGCCCCTGCCTTGCCCAGAGACCTCACTCCGGACTCTATTCCTCCCAGGACCCTATTCTTCTCTCCTCAGACCCCCTCTTCCCCACCTCCTTCCTGCTCGGGATTCTAGTGCTCCCCACCCCTCTCCCCGCTGGGGTCCCACTCCTACCCCCTTGTTCTTCTCATTGCCCCCACAGTACCCTTCCCCATTTGGGTGCCCCTCACCCTACTGCCTACTTCGCCCATATACCACTCCTTTCCCTCTGGGGGCCTGAGACCTTCTGCACCCCTCACCTGCCTCTCACCCTCCCGCCCCCGCCCACCCAGCTGTCACCCTCCTGCCCCCTCCTAGGTCCGCTATATCTCTGACTTCTTCAAAGCTCGATCCCCGCAGCACTGCCTGGAGGAGGAGGAGCTGGAGCGGAAGCCTAGCCTGTCGCTGACACTGACTCTGGGGGAGGCTGATCACAACCACTATGGATACCCGGTGTCCTCCTGAGTCGGGTGCCCAGGCAGGGCCTCGCTGGGCCAGCAGGACCCTCCCCTGGGCTGGCCATGTTGGGGGACCTGGTGGGACCTTCTCCTGGGCTGGCCCCGTTGGAGTTCCTGGCAGGACCCTCCCCTGGGATGACCTCACTGGGGGACTTGGCGGGACCCTCCCCTGGGCTGGCGGCATTGGTGGTCCTCGCAGGTCTCATCCAGAAGGGCCCCACTGGCTCTGGTTGGGCAAGGAGGACCCTCCCCGTTCTGTGCATAGGACTGGCACTTGGGGGTGCCTAGAGTGTATGGGGGGGCATTTTTCTCATCTCACCCTGAAGATCCCCCTTTTCTTTTTTAGGGGCTAGGGAAGGAGACCAAGAGATCAGAATGGATGCTGTTTTTGTAAAAGGGAATGTACACGTGGCTTTTTAGTAAAACAGATTGTTGGACAAACTTTTCTCAGTGCCTCTTGTGTTCCTTATGGTTCCTTCTGAGGACAGATTCCTTCCTGAGTCCTGCTGTCTGTCCTCCCCACCTCCAGACACTCGCACAGGGCAGGCTTGGGGATCCACGGCCACCCTCCTCGAGGCCTCAGAACCCCTCATCTAACACACTTCACAACGTGTCCAATGAGAAGAGCAGAGAAGCAGGGTCTCGGGTTCCGGGGCCAACATTCAGTCGCCTTTCCACATAGGAACATATCTCCCCTCCATGCAGAGCTGTAGGAGGTGCTCATGGATATTTTTAGGGTTACACTGCCCCAGTCCCTTATGGTTTTAGGGAAAAAAATAGTATTTTCTCTTTTCCACCTCAGTGCACGAGGGACATATTTTGTTGTTTCTCACAAGAAAACTCATAGATTTTTAACCCTGTAAATATCATTTCTCGTGCTCATGTTCTTTTTTAATTTCTTTTCTGCCAAGTTGTGCTGACTTCCCCTGTATTGTACGTTTTCTTTCCCTTCACCAAAGTTGCCACTTGTCTACTATTTAGTGATTTCCCCTTCCCACCTCTCTCCTCTCTCGTAGCCATCAAAGACTGTTTTCTTTTGTGTGTAAACCTTTTCTTGGGTTTTTATAATGGTGGTCTCATACAATATCTGTCCTTTTGTGATTTACTTATTTCACTCAGCATAATGCCCTCCAGATTCATCCATGCTGTGAGGTGTTTCGCGGAGTCATCGTTCTTTATCATTGGGTAGTATTCCACTGTGTGTATGTACCATAGTTTGTTTATCCATTCATCTGTTGATGGGCACTTAGGTTGTTTCCATCTTTTTGCTATTGTGAACAGTGCTGCAGTGAACATGGCTTGGCATATGTCTATTTGTATGATGGCTCTTATTTCTCTAGGATATATTTCTAGCAGTATGATTGCTGGATCAGAGGGTATTTCTAGCTTTTTAAGGAGGCGCCATATTGTTTTCCATAGTGGTTGTACCATTTTACATTCCCACCAGCAGTGCATATGAGTTCCAATCTCCTCACAACCTCTCCAACATTGATTATTTTCTGTTTTTTGCTTGGTGCTGGTAGTGTTGGGGTGAGATAGGCTCTCACTGTAGTTTTGATTTCCATTTATCTAATGGCTAATGATCGAGACCATTTCTTCATGTGTCTGTTGGCCACCTGAATGTCATCTTTGGTGAAGTGTCTGTTCACATCTGTCATGGATTGAATTGTGTCCCCAAAAATATCTGTCAACGTGGCTGGGTCGTGATTCCCAGTATTGTATAATTGTGTACCATTTTGTAATCTGATGTGATTTCCTTATGTGCTGTAAATTCAATCACTATGATCTAATAAGATGGATTGGGGCAGTTATACTAATACAAGATTAGATAGTGTCTTAAACCAATCTCTTTTGAGATATAAAAGAGAGAAGCAAGCAGAGACGCCTGGTAACCTCATACCACCAAGAGAGCAGTGCCGGGAGCAGAGCATGTCCTTTGGACCTGAGGTTCCTGCGCTGAGATGCTCCCAGACCAAGGGAAGATTGATACATCACAAGGACCTTCCTCCAGAGCCGATACAGAGAGAAAGCCTTCCCCTGGAGTTGATGCCCTGAATTTGGACTTGTAGCCTACTGGACCGTGAGAGAATAAACAAACTTCTCTTTGTTAAAGCCGTCCACTTGTGGTCTTTCTGTTATAGCAGCACTAGATGACTAACACAATATCCTTTGCCCATTTTTTAACTGAATTATTTGTATTTATTGTTTAGGTGTTGAATTATAGATTTTGGAGATTAGACCTTTGTTGAATATGTCACAGCCAAAAATTTTTCCCAGTCTATATGTTCTCTTTTTACTCTTGGTGAAGTCTTTTGACTAGCATAAGTGTTTAATTTTTAGGAGCTACTAGTTATCTAGTTTATCTTCTGGTGTTTGTGCATTGTTGGTTATGGAATGAAGGCTATCACTGCTGATATCAGATAGATCCTAGCTGAAAGCAGAGAATACCAGACAGATGTTTACCTGTATTTTATTGACTGTGCAAAGGCATTTGACTGTGGGGGTCATAACAAATTATGCGTAATATTTCAAAGAATGGGAATTCCAGAACACTTAATTGTGCTCATGAGGAACCTACACACAGATCAAGAGGGAGTTGTTTGAACAGAAAAAGGGGATACCGTGTGGTTTAAAGTCAGGAAAGGTGTGCATCAGGGCTATAACTTTTCACCATACTTATTCAATCTGTATGCTGAGCAAATAATCCAAGAAGCTGGACTATAGGATGAAGAATGTAGCATCAGGATTGGAGGAAGACTCATTAACAACCTCCATATGCAGATGACACAACTTTGCTTGCTGAAAGTGAAGAGGACTTGAAGCACTTACTGATGAAGATAAAGACCACAGCCTTCAGTATGGATTATCCCTCAAAAAAACCCCAAAATCCTCACAACTGGACCAATAAGCAACATCATGATAAATGGAGAAAAGATTGAAGTTGTCAAGGATTTCATTTTACTTGAATTCACAATCATCACCCATGGAAACAGCAGTCAAGAAATCAAAGGACGCTTTGCACTGGGCATTGGACAAATCTGCTGCAAAAGACCTCTTTAAAGTGTTGAAAAGCAAAGACGTCACTTTAAGGACTCAGGTGCGCCTGACCCAGACCACGGTGTTTTCAATCACCTCATATGCATGTGAAAGCTGGGCAATGAATAACAAAGACTGAAGAAGAATTGATGCCTTTGAATTATGGTGTTGGCGTAGAATATTGAATATATTCTGCCAGAAGAATGAACAAATCTGTCTTGGAAGAAGTACAGCTAGAACACTCCTTAGAAGCGAGGATGGAGAGACTTCATCTCACAACACTTTGGACATGTTATGAGGAGAGATCAGTCTCTGGAGAAGGACATCATGCTTGGTAAAGTTGAGGGTCAGCGAAAAAGAGGAAGACCCTCATCAACAAGATGGATTGACACAGTGGCTGCAACAGTGGGCTCATGCATAACAATGATCATGAAGATGGTGCAGGACCGGGCAGTGTTTTCTTCTGTTGTACATAGGGTCACTATAAGTTGGAACCAACTCGATGGCACCTAACAACAACAGTTATGGTTAGTATTATATTTATGCCATGTATTAGGGTCCCTGGTATTGTCGCTATTTTTTCTTCCATGATCTTTACTGTTTTCGGTTTTATATTTAGGTCTTTGATCCATTATGAGATAGTTTTTGTGTATGGAGTGAAGTATGAGTCCTGTTTCATTTTTTTACCAATAGACATCCAGTTGTGCCGGCACCACTTGTTAAAAAGTTAAACATCTAGTGGATGTTGGCCATTTGTCAAATATCAGCTGCCCATAGATGGATGGCTTTACATCTGGGTTCTCAATTCTGGTCCATTGGTCTATGTGTCTGCCGTTGTACCAGACCAGGCTGTTTTGACTACCATGGCTGTATAGTAAGTTCTGAAATCAGGTAGTGTGAGGTCTCCTACTTTGTTCTTTTTCTTCAATAATGCTTTGCTTATTTGGGGCCTATTTCCTTTCCGTATAAATTTGGTGATTAGTTTCTCCATGTCGTTAAAAAATACTGTTGGAATTTTGATCAGGATTGCATTATATCTGTAGATCACTTTGAGTAGTATTGACATTTTCACAATGTTAAGTCTATCCATGAGCATAGTATGTTTTTCCATTTATGTGGGTCTCTTGGTGTCTGACAGTAGTGTTTTGTAGTTTTCTTTGTATAGGTCTTTTACAACCCTGATTAGATTTAGTCCTAAGTATTTTATCTTTTTGGAGGCTATTGTAAATGATATTGATTTCCTTTTCAAATTCTCTTTGTTGGTGTAGAGGAATCTTACTGATTTTTGTATGTTAGTCTTGTATCTTGCTACTTTGCTGAAACTTTTTATTAGTTCCAGTAGCTTTCTTTTGGATTCTTTGGGGTTTTCTATGTAAAGGATCATATTATATATGAATAGGGATAGTTTTACTTCTTCCTTATCAATTTGGATGCCTTTTATTTCTTTTTCTTGCCTTATTGCTCTAGCTAGGATTTCCAGCACAGTGTTGAATAAGAGTGGTGATAAAGGGCATCCAAACTGGTGAGGAAGAAGTAAAACTATCCCTATCCTGTTCTCAAGGAGAATGCTATCAAGTCTCTCTCCATTTGTGGTCATGTTCTTGATGGAAGCATTGCTCTATCTTCTGAGGCTAACTGTTTTTTTTGAAAAACTCCTGTTAACTGAGTGTTTGATGGCATGGAGGAATTTGTTGGATTTGCTAGGTATGACATGGTATTGTGGTTTTGTAGGAAATCATGCTTATTTTTTTAGAGGTGCATACTGAAACATTTAGGAATCAAATTTTATGATGTCTGTAACTGAAGAGGACTTGAAGCACTTACTGATGAAGATCAAAGACTACAGCCTTCATTATGGACTACACCTTAACATAAAGAAAACAAAAGTCCTCACAACTGGACCAATAAGCAACATCATGATAAATGGAGGAAAAAAGTTGTCAAGGATTTCATTTTACTTGGATCCACAAT